TGGCAAGATGGAACCTCACAAGAGGACGCAAGGGAAAGCAAAACTGACCATGCTGTACAGTTTTGCTTTCCACTTCCTAGAGCGCTCAGTCGTTCTGTTAGAAGGGGTTCCGGCGGCCGTGGTCGGGTCTACCCATCGACGCATTCGCGCTTGGAATGCGGGTAGGAGAGCCGCTCCCACTACCACTGGATCCTCCGACTCTACTAACGCCCTGAGCCGCTTGTTCTTTTGTAGGCGGATTGATGTGGCAAAGTCGGGTATTCCTAGTCCACCGTCCTTCACGTCGACATGAATAAAGGCATTAGGAGTATCATGAGGCAGCCGCAGCCAGCCACGGGTGGCATGTCGCAGCCGCCGGTCAAGCCTCGCTAACTCCGTCTTACACACGCGTCCCAGAACAAGGCGGTGGTTCATCTTGGGAATCAGGTGGTGCTTTAGTATGTATAGCCTCTGTTGGGGCTTGAGTGGCGCCTTAGTGATGTTAGTCAGGCCGTCCTCAAACAGGGAACCATAGGATAAGCGTCTGCCCCGGCCCCGATAAGTATTCCTAAGTACTTATACTCGTCTGCCACACTCATAGTACCGATTGCATCGTCCCCAACGTAGTATGCCTTCCTGGTGGGGACATGCCACGTCTTCCGATGCGCATCAATCGCTATGCTTAGCGTACGGCATTTTGCAACGTTTACTTTGAGACCAGAGCCAACTTAAGTATATATAATTAAATCCATATTTGACATACAGCAGAGAACCAGCTGACAGGATGCATTTATTTCATTGATTAATAATAAACGATTTTTCTCTACCATAAATAAATTGGTATGTTTTGCAGGTTAAATCATAGGCATATGTAAGGGTAGGTAAGGTGTTGCGGATACGTTGATAAAGGAAGTGCACACTACAGACTGGATAGACACAGCACCGCTCCTGTGCCAGGTAAGTCCACTATGGGCTCACCATAGCCCTTACTACTTGCCCCGTTCCTGTGCCAGGTAAGTAACGGGCTCACCATAGCCCGTGCTACTTAGAACTTGTTCCGAGTACCTGAATCTATAACAACAACAACAACTACAGGCTGAAAGAGAACCTAGCCGTTTCGAGGCATAGTTTCAAACAGTCAAGAGGCTGTAAGTCAAATACCGACTTGGGTAAATTTTAACATGTTGATAGTTTACTTATACATTGTGAATCCGAATTGTTTTGATGATGGGATGAAATTAGATTATCCTCAGGCGGCTACTTTTTATTTTTATATACCAATGTCCTTAGGTCGGGCTGCTTCGGCAACCCGTCCTCAGACAAACCTGTTCTCACACTAGGCTGGTTAAAGCAGCAGCCGTCCTCCCCAGACGCATTCATCAACTATAACATACTGTGTATTAAAAATTGGTTTGTTCTCATATATAAATTAATATTCTTATACATAAAAATTGTATGTATAGTTTGGCGTAGGTTAGGTGTTTAGGTTCTGTTGGTAATTAATTGTATTTGAAGTACGTGGGTGGAAGCATTTACAGCGTTCTGGTTCGAACAAAAGTCGTCAGCGAAGCACTTGTTCCAGAAGTTTTCGGACGTCATCAATTGTGAGTCGTGTGTATGTAACATGCATGACCCCCCCCCCCCCCTCCTTCCTTAGAGTTCACACCCAGGGAAGCCTTCTCCAAGAGGTCAGCCCAGATGACCTCCGGATTATCTTGTATGTTGATTAAAAAATTCCTGGGTTAGTCTTAGTCAGCTAGTTTCAAGTATGTAATATTTCATGATACTCTTGTCAAACATTGCAATGGAATTAGACCCCAGACTCTTAGGTGTAAACTTCCATGGATCTCCCCCCTTTTAGCCAGGTCAAAGGTCAGTCAGATACGTAATTAATAACTCCGCTCTTGAAGAGTGTATGGTGAATGTCAAACAAGCTTAATTGAAATATTTTTTAAGTGTTTGTGCACGTGTGGCCTGACCCCCCTGGCATTTTTTATCTAGGTAGCAACAGTAAATCTTCCCCTCCCCCTTTTTCGAGGATATATATTGGTTCTGTAGAGACTTAGGGACAGAGTGCGGGACACCGGGATCGAGAGCGGGTCTGTGAAGAACATCTCAGCCAGGGAGAGACAGAGGTCTTAAGGTAATGTGTCTGATCTCTGAGGTTTTGTTCCATGTCCAAATTTCTTAACTTTTTGCCAGTGTTAGAGTAGGATTTATAAGTGGTGATTAGCATAATTTTGTTCTCAATAAACTCATGTTAAATTTCCCGTCTGTGTCAATTGTTGAATCCTCTTAGCCTTTTGGATATAGTGGCTGACAACCGTCCCATAATTAATGATAGTCATAGAAAGTACTCTCCAAGTCAAGCAATGTTTCTTGCCCTCGTTGCTTGATATAGTCTCAATGGTCAAAGGCAAATGGTGGCAGCGTATTTAATCCTGTGTAGCATTTCCTTGTTTCGCAGTGTACCTTTTGGTTCCGGTGTAACCATCATATGTCAGCTCATATTACAGTGTTCAATAACAGTGTTACCAAGTGCAACTGATAGGAAGTGTTACTCAAGATAAGTAGCAGAGTTACATTTTTTTAGTTTAGTATACATTATAGTGGTGTTACAACCATAGTGGTGTTACAAGTAAACCGATTTTCATTCATAAACAGGGGGTTTGGCGGGTGCATGGAATGGACTTTGGCCTTTGTTTATGAGGACGTGCTGCTTTGTCAGCCTGAATATGTTCAGAGGCTGTTGTTCGAGACGTGCTTCATTCACCAGCAGCCCTTAGCAGTTGATACGACTAAATCAACGTACCAAACCATCTGACGTAAGCCTCACTACAGAAACCCAAAAGATATATAATAATTTTAATTTGTATTTAAAAGCGTATCATTACGACGTATTTTAAATACTAATGCCACACCAGGAGCCAGATTCACGAAGCAGTTACGCAAGTACTTACGAATTTGTATGTCTTTCCTCAATCTTTGACGGCTTTGGTTACATTTATTAAACAGTTTACAAACATGAAAACTTCCCAATCAACTGTTGTTATTGTTATAAACAGCTTAATGGTGCTTCAAGCTCAGTAACTGTTTAACAATTGTAAACAAAGCCGCCAAAGATTGAGAAAAGATGGACAGGTTCGTAAGTGCTTGTGTAACTGCTTCGTGAATCTGGCCCCAGGTCTATTGAATTTCCCCGCAGTTTCTGAACTGGCAGCCAAGTTCTCCAGTTTGACAATGGACATTGTGCTCATAGTTCTCACAGCCAGAGTATGAACAAATAGTGTAGTGAGCCAGAGTATGTTCATTATCTGACTGCTCAAACGCATCCAGATTGTTAATATCGCCTTGTTATCAATTGGTTATATTAATGGTAATATTAAAACACGTTTAGTAGAACTGCTGTAATAGACGACTAACTCTCAAGAATGTCTGGCCAAGAAGAGACCCTCCTTAACATTCAGACTGGAAAAATGTGGAATATTACGACTCCAAGACAAACTACACCAGTTGCATTAATGTACAACCCATTCTCCGGTTTGTGGTAGTACTTATAGTAACTATGAGTAACATAGTACATATACCGATGTACAGCGCAATTAGAAAGTAGAAATCGGTACTATGGAATTTGGACAAGCTGGAATTTTTTTTATGTTGCAAAGACAAACTAAACTAATCTAACCTAACCTTCCTAGGCCTAATACATGAAATCTGAGGCCTAATAGAGTACATATGAATTTTATATAGAAGAAATAGAAGTACCCAACTATCAAAAGTCGCCACAGAGCCAAAGTAGCGGAAGGAAGATCTACTGCGATATGGTAGGAACAAATCACTGTTACTACTCTTTCAAGCCTGACAAAGAGATATCCAGAGACATTGCAGTAGCCATACACAGACTCAGACTTTGTTACAAGTGCTGCTGGGAGGTAATGAACCCAATAGTTAGAGTGTCATATCTGTGGAACAGAAGCAGAGGCGCCACTATTGCACTACTTACTGGAATGTGAAGCTACTGAAGCCCTGCGCATCAAACTAAACATTAATCCAACGGAAGCAGCTGCATTAGATGCACATACCACAGCCACAATGATTAGAAAAGCCATTAAAAAATGGGACTCACTAGTGAACATTCTGCACCTACATCCGCCATCAAGATAATGTTATGAAAACACGACTAAACCATTAGCGAAAAAGAAACAGGGCAAAAGGAGGAAACCCCACCCCCATTTAAAACTTTGACCCAAATATCAGAGTAACTAGGTTATCGCGAATAACCGAACTCAATTACGGGCTCACCATAGCCCGTGCTACATGGTCATTTCATTCTAAGTAGCTAAATCTAAAACAACAACAAACAACGTATTTTCTTAGCACTTAAGAATGAACCATGTAGGTTCGAAACGCTGTGCAATTTTATAATAAGTGTAATACATTCTACAGTTATTTAAAATAAAATCCATTGCAGTTTGTCAGAGCGGGCAGGAGGGTCCCCTTCCCCTCTCCGGCCACCCATAACCCCACAACCCTGGGAAGCACCCCACACCTGCACAACCCTGGGATGCACCCCACACCTGCACAACCCTGGGATGCACCCCACACCTGCACAACCCTGGGAAGCACCCCACACCTGCACAACCCTGGGAAGCACCCCACACCACCACCCTTTATGTATTACAACTGATTGCATTCAAAGAAAGTTGGAATTTGAAAACTTTCTATATCATTGTGTAATGTTCTGCAGTACGGTATAGAGAGAAAAAAATAACAAAAGATTTATTCCAAATCTATTTAATTTATTGCAAGATTCATCATGGTGGTAGTGTTGGCACGGTGTCACCTGGCACTCCTTTCATGCCAATCCCTACCCGCCCATGTTGAGCATGTACCCAGCAGCAATTACTGGGAAAAACTGAGTGAAAAGCTAGCCACAAGTATCTAGCCTACAACCTCGGACAGACAAATTCCTATTTATAGATATTGATTAAAATATACTTAGGTCTCTTGCAACTAATATGTCACCGCATATATGAAGAGGCCCCAGTGAACTTGGCAGACTGCAGCGTACTGCTGGTCCAGACAGTGGCGACCGTTGACTGACACCGCCGCCGCCGCGACCGTTGACTGACACCGCCGCCGCCGCCGCGACCGTTGACTGACACCGCCGCCGCCGCCGCGACCGTTGACTGACACCGCCGCCGCCGCCGCCGCGACCGTTGACTGACACCGCCGCCGCCGCGACCGTTGACTGACACCGCCGCCGCAACCGCTGACTGACGCCGCCGCCGCCGCCGCGACCGCTGACTGACACCGCCGCCGCCGCCACCGTGACAATTGACTGACACCGCCGCCGCCGCCGCGACCGCTGACTGACGCCGCCGCCGCGACCGCTGACTGACGCCGCCGCCGCCGCCGCGACCGTTGACTGACACCGCCGCCGCCGCCGCGACCGTTGACTGACACCGCCGCCGCCGCCGCGACCGTTGACTGACACCGCCGCCGCCGCGACCGTTGACTGACACCGCCGCCGCCGCCGCGACCGTTGACTGACACCGCCGCCGCCGCCGTGACAATTGACTGACACCGCCGCCGCCGCCGTGACAATTGACTGACACCGCCGCCCCTCTTAGCGTGACGGTTTATAGGGGAGAATCGTTATGTATATTGTGGCGTGACGTGTCTCAAACACCACGGAACAACTTGTTGACTGTCACTATCACACTTTGGCACGGAAGTCTATCACCATACCAGGCGCATAAATTATCTCACTGTTAAGAATTGTGATAGATTATTTATCTATCGCCATGACCGCTGATACTGTAGGCTTCTTCACTTCGTCCATCTTCCTGTAATAATTGTTTATGTTCCCGGGTGCTGAGGAACTCACCGGCAACTTTTCATAGACCAGTCACTGGATAGCTTAAACAAAATTGTATTTATATCTGCAATATAATGATAATTTGCAAGACATAATATTTAGTTTATATCTCATACTAGAGCACGAACCAGTGGCAAATGCTAATAGGCATATTAGGATTAAATTGGAGCGTACACTGACTAAAGACTCGTATTCCCAATTAGTGCATCGCACCAGAAGTGGCTGGTAGCTCTCACTACGGATGTTCGGTTGTTGTTGGCGGGTGTCCGAGACTCTGATGATTGTGTCTGTTGTGGGGAGTGGGAGACGAGGCTGCATATTTGTTTTTATTTTACAAGCGCGTGGCGTGCTGGTTGATGGGCTTCGTGTTGCTATTGTTGTTTTGTGGATAAGTGTGTGTGTGTGTGTGTACTCACCTAGTTGTGCTTACGGAGGTTGCGCTTTGGCTCTTTGGTCCCGCCTCTCAACCGTCAATCTAAAGGTGTACAAATTCTTGAGCTCCTCAAGCTCTATCATATCTACATTTCAAACTGTGTATGGAGTCAGGCTCCACCACATCACTTCCTAGTGCATTCCATTTATTAACTACTTTGACACTGAAAAAGTTCTTTCTAATGTCTCTGTGGCTCAATTACGCACTCAGCTTCCACCTGTGTCCCCGTGTGCGTGTACCACCCGTGTTAAATAATCCATCTTTGTCTACCCTGTCAATTCCCCTGAGAATTTTGTATGTGGTCATCATGTCTCCCAAAACTCTTCTGTCTTCTAGCAACGTGAGGTGTATTTCACGCAGCCTTTCCTCGTACCTCATGCCTCTTAGTTCTGGGACTAGCCTCTGAACTTTTTCCAGTTTCGTCTTGTGCTTGACAAGGTACGGGCTCCATGCTGGGACCGCACACTCCAGGATTGGCTCCAGCCTGAACCTTGTATATGTGGTATACAAGGTTCTGAAAGATTCCTTACACAGGTTTCTGAAAACGGTTCTGATGTTAGCCTGCCTCGCATACGCCATCGATGTTATTCTTTTGATGTGGGCTTCAAGAGACAGGTTTGGCGTGATATCAACTCCTAGATCTTTCTCTGTCTTTCTGTGTGTGTGTGTGTATGTGTGAATGTGTGAATGTATTGACACACTTGTTTTTTGTGGATGTGAAGTGTGCTAAGATTCGGAGCCACGTTGATTATGCAAATTTTCTGATTGTGTAATGTTTGTGGATGGGCCGATTGGAGGGGTACTCGGTAGGCAGCCTGTCCTCATGCCAACTTCGTTAAAGCAGCGCCGATATCCCCCCCCCCCAAAAAAAAAAAAAAACTTATTAATACATTTTTACATATTGTGTATTAAAAATGATTGTTCTCATATATAGATTAATATTATATGTTAAAGCTCTATATACAGTTAGGGCTAGGTTAGGTTAGGTGTTTAGGTTCTGTTGGCGATTATTTGTATGTGTAGTACGTGGGTGAAGCCTTTACCAACCCTTCCTCGACTTAAGTTCATTCCATCCAGCGGTCAACCCCACAGACGCATTCATAAATTTTAAAATGCTGTTCATTCAAAACAGGAATTTTCTCAAATATAAATTAATATTATAATATATTAGCATATTGTGCATATATATTGGCACAGGTTAGGTTAGGTTAGGTGTTTTGGTTCTGTTCGCGGTTATTTGTATTTGTAGTACGTGGGTGAAGCATTTACAGCGGTGTGGTTCGAACAAAATTACATTTTGTTCGATTACATAGGCTGTTACAATTAAATTACAATTTCATAGGCTGTTTACACAGCCCGTCCTCCAAACAAAGACCCAAACGTGATTCCATGCATCCGCCAAACCCCCTGCTTATGAATGAAAAACGGTTTACACACGATTCACAACTGATGACGTCCGAACACTTCCGGAACAAATGCTTCACTGACTAATTTTGTTCGAACCATAACGCTATAAATGCTTCACCCACGTACTACAAATACAAATAATCGCCAACAGAACCTAAACACCTAACCTAACCTAACCTATGCCTATATATGCACAATATGCTAATATATAAGAATATTAATTTATATATGTAAAATTCCTGTTTAGAATGAATAGCTTGTTAAAATTGATAAATGCTTCTTTGGGGTCGACTGCTGGATGGAATGGATTTGATCTGAGGACGGGTTGCTGGTTTGGCCGCTGGATTAACGAGCATTTGGCCTTTGTGAGGACGGACGGCAATTCTTAGTTATCACTGAAGTGTAGAAACTAGATCACTGTGCGGCTCGTCGCTGTAACGACATGGAGGTGTATTACTATCCAATGATCTACGGATTCATTTTGCCTCAACTGGTTCTTTGGTTGGTGGCTCTCCTGTGCTACATCTACCGTGAGCATGGACCAGTTTATACACACAACATGGGGAGGCAGGTGACCACTCCATCCTGGAAGAAAGTCGTAGATAATCATTACGCTCGTACCAAGATACCAACTCCTATTAGTACACCATTTGCCACCGGAATACGTGGAAAACTAAGGAAAGCTACCTCGTTCTCTCTTAACATAGGTTTCTCTCCACCCTTGTGTAGAGTAGGAAAATCAAGGAGCCAGGAGAACTTGTGCTCGGCTATCGATGCTAACCTCGACCTGTATATTCCCAGGGGTTCTCCAGACAGTGCCTCGTGCGTTAACATTTCGATATCAAAAGATGACCTGGATCTAGAACTCGACCAGAAGAAATGCAAATGTTTGGGCATGACGCTGACTTGTACTGTGTCTCCAGGAACCCCGACACTGGAAGCACCCTCGACCCTGTCGGACTCTAAAGCCCAAGAGCACCGACGGAGCGCCGTCAGGAAGGTGTTATTGGCAGAGTTCGAAAGCCTTGACTCTTTGGTGCAGGTGTTTTGAGGTTTGTGATTCCGGCTGTTATCAACATATTATACTGGAACGTTACGCTGGTGTTGGTGAGAAATTGTCATTATCCTTATGTTTTAATTCTTCAAACTGAGTGATTGGTTAGGTATTAGCCTATCAACCGCGTTGGCTTATTTACCAACAAGTAACTATGCTTCAACCGTAAACATGGTCCAGGACTAAGGTACGCTGTGTGTATGTATCGAAATACTGGGTACATCTGTACGTGTGCATCATTAAAGGGGATTGAAGTCTTTGACGATCACTGAGGACTGAGGCAGCGGGGTGGGAAACTGTATGTACTAAGTTAACATCCCTTGTTAACTGCTCCGTCATTATCCGGTGTGATTAAGATCATAATTGTTTTAACCACGCAAAGTTCGTTATTTCTTTAACATTTCTGTTTTGGTTGTTCTCGTGGATAGCTTTCAAAATGCAATAAAAGAAAGGCTTCTCTTGAAAGGCTTTGATTTTAGTATACTAGTATTGGCATTTCCCTTAATGCATATAAATCTCTAAGTTTGCCGAACATGTACTACCAACTTACACTAATCATTTGGCTTATAGCGTACCTTTTTTTTTTTCGACGTACTGGAGTTTGATCATTCTTGTCGAGAAGATGTTGATTCGAACAAAAATAAGATTAGAATTTTAACATTCGGGAGTAAATTTTTACCTGCTACTATAGGTTTTATTTATATAAAATCTACATATATCTGGATTTTTATGGATGTCTGGGGGTGTTATTACAACAAATTAATGAACTGGAATTTTGGTTTAATATTGAATCTTTTACGCGTGACAGAAGTATTCCATGCTCAATAGCATCGGTTTCCAAACTGTCATTACCCATTTTTCATATAGCGTCCTTATTAATTAATGACCTCCCGACATCCAGTAATAAAAAACGTTAGCAACACTCCATTACCTGGTTATTTTCCCTTACCCTCTGGTATCACAACCTGGCCATTGCCTCAACTTATGGCACCCTACATATTGCAAAAAGGCCCAGTTTAGGAATCGATGCTTTTTAGCATAGAATCCAATAGTCCATTTTAGGCCAGAGATGTGTACCTCTTAGGTTTACCCATGTCACAGAAGTCGAATATTTTCAACTTTAACTTAAATATTACAAAGCTGTATTCATACGGAACTAGGGAACCCCCCCCCCCTTCCTCCCCCTTTGTTACAGGTGACCCGGGTGTGTGGTAAGAACTCCCAACTGTTGGTTTGTACATTAGACACCCAATTTTTGTGGGTGTCCAATTTCTGTTCATAAATCATTGCTTTATGCACAGGGTTTGGCTAAAACACTTTCTTTGTGTACTTGTAACACGAGATGCAAAAAATGACATGATGTAAAATTCAACTACAGATTGGCTGGTCCAAAAAAAATTAAGTTTTATAGCTTGTATAACAATCCTGAATTGTTCAGGACTTGCGCTAAACTCCCCTCACATTACTTTTCCAAAAGCAAAAGGGTATATTTACGACTGATGGATCATATTTTATGCCTAGTATGAATAATAGCCAGTTCATTTTTAAAATAAATCTGCCTTTCACAATAAGTGTTAACTGTATAGTTATTGAATTTTAAAATCCAGTACTTTTACGTTGATAACGCGGCTCAAGATACGAATGCCAAGATGTCTACATTCAGTCTTTTTGCGAATGCTGCGGCTGGTATAGATTTTGCAAAGTATTATAGTAATTTTGTATAAGTTTAGTTAGAGGAAGTTTGGTTCTTTATACTTTTAGATGGTTTTAAACCCCAGGTGCGGCCCTACCAGCCTTGCCTGCTCTCAAGGGATCAGTGTCAACCAAAGTTACCAGACCAGTCGCCCCTTCCGCACCCTCCACACACAGATTGAGAACACCAATATGGACGACAGTTTATCGAAGGTATGCCACTATTTTTAACACTTCAGACCGTTTAGTATTGGCTTGTCTTTTAATTCGCATTTTGTATTTTTGTCGTGAAATTAACATTAACAAAATTTGTTTGCTAAAAACGGCTTTGAGTGGTAGTATTTTTCAGTCGGATTCAAAAGTGACTTCCTTTCCCATAACGATGAGACTCTTAAGCTGGGCCAGTTAAACATGAACGAAATGTGCTATTGTCATGAAAGTCAATCTAATTCGGTTTAGCAGGGCGTGCAATAGATCTGATATATGAAAAACACCAGCCAACTTTAGTGTCTTACAGGGTCATTGTGGAGTGAAATAAACAGCTTGATATTTTGAAAGTAATTCTCCTAATCTATTCCCAGGCGGACATGTTGGTGAGTACTCTTGTGTGGCTGTACGACCGGTTTTGTGGTGCTCCACAGGCGTCTCACGTCTCTTCAAAGCTGACGGTTAAACTGAGTCTGTGTATCTCTGGCTCTAACATCGGCAGGACACCTGGTACGCAATCATGAGCAAACAGAGGAAGTGTTTTTTTTACTTTACAGCAATAATTATATTCACAGCACGTACACAGTTGAAGCTGTTTATAAATGTGAAAACAAGAGGGTAGATTGTACAGTTCACATAAAGTTTCAGATGTAACGCGAAAAGAGATTTTGAAGTATGATACTGAATTTAATCACCCTGGTTGATACCTGGTTGCTGGGGACCCTCGGTGACTAAATTCTCTCTATATGGCAACTCTTAAACTGGTGCTTCATTCTGGAGTTCAAGCGAGAGCTAAAATTTGCTTAAACAAAAATTCCCTAGTGCTTGTATTATAATTAAGCAAAATTTGAGTGATCGACTTCTAATGACGCCGAAAGATCATAACTGGGACATTGGAAAACGAATGATTAGAGCAGCCCCATTCCTGGTGCTGCTGAGGTAAACAACAATCCTGGATCAAGAGCAGCGTCTGTAACGAGCCAACCTCACTTTGTTGCTCAGGTGTCAGATTCTTCTTCATTGTTTTGAAGTTTTTACATTTATAAACTAGTCACATTGTTGTACTTTTAACTATATTTTTAAATAAAATTGATTACTATTTTTTTGTTAATTTCCATTAAAATGTGAATAAAATGGGCGGGGAGGGAGAATGAAACTTTATTGGCATGCTAGGATTATAAGTAGGCTTCCTGCATAGTGAATAGTACTTGGCAAATCCCCTCTCCTCCTTAGAAATGTCAAGCAAGATGGAATAATTGCCTTACCAAGAAGCAAATAGATTTTTAAGATGTTTAGCGTAGTATAATTAAGACGACGATTAGCTAGATACGGATCCGGATAGATCAGTTAGAGGATTTTGATCCGGACAATTTCTTAAAAAGGACAGATGTAACACAGACAGCAACGGTTTCAAGCTCAACAAGCCACAATGTAGGATTGAGAACAGGAGAGGCTTTTTCACCCACAGGGTTATCAACCCATGGAACTGCCTACCCGCCGAAGCTGTAAATGCGAAACTGTTCATTCCGTGTCTACTAGGCAGATGCTGCTGAGACAGCTTCCTTGGTGGGCCGACGGAACGCCATCTTGACGAGCCATGGGACGTAGAGAGGCGGGATAGCCCACCAACAGTGACCTTGGGAGGAGTACATATTGCAGAATTTGGAGCAAGTTTTAAAATTTATCGGGAAAATATCATAAAGGTAAAATGGGGGAAGACCTTCGACTAATTGCCTGTCCTCGTCGAGGCCACTAGGGTTAATGGCTCTCGGATAAATCGGGTAAAATAAAAATAAAAAATAGGTTAACCGTTTCTGACGCAAGTATTTGGTCTTGTCTCGCCCTCTTCAGTTCATCTCGCTTGTCAGACCCAGCTTCATTCTCGGTGTTTGCTTGCAGACTTGTCTGCGTAAAAAAAAAACAATGTTGCAGATATTTTTGACGACGTGCAGAGTACGGTAAAGCAGAGATTGCACTTTTTTGGATTTGAAAAGTTTGTTTACTGTAGAAGGACTTGTGTGTGTGTGGGGGGGGAGTGTTTTGCTTGATGCTACTTTGCACAAAATATATATGCTAATTAATATAATTAGAGTACTTAGGATTACAACGATATTACTTAGATAATCCTAGAGCCTTAAACTCTTTAATGTGCTACAGAAACTTTTGAGTGAGGTGGCTGTAATTGTCATGTAACATTATGGTTGTACAGGCTAGGCTGCTGAATTCTCATTATACTGTCCCTCTCGAGGGTTAAAGCCAAAATGGTGTACAAACCTTTACCTTTTGTAAAGAAAAGATTTGTGATGGAATACCTAGGAACAGCTAGCGTGATGAGAGGGTAGGAGATGTAAGATAGTTTGTGGGGTCGAAAAGTTCGAGATAATAGGTTCACTATACTGAAGCACTGTCTTGTTAAGTGATGATAAAGATTGCTAAGAGTATGACCATCTTCCACCCAATTGGATGGATAGATACCACAGTGTCTCGTCTACCCTGTAAAGATAGAATATCAAGTTCAGAGTATGAACTTTGTACTGAAAAAGACCATCAGACAGCACCTACCAGGTAAACAGATGTGACGTACACTATAAAGATGCAAGTGTCGCAGATGAACTGATGAACAAGCCGAACAACCATAATTTAATTTAGGTGAGAGTGCACTCTGATCTGTCGTGAGATCAGGTTGTTTCGTACGGCCCCTCAAGTTGTCAGCACGGCGTGGAGTGCAGACCCTGGGTGTTGTTGACGTGGCCTGTGTAATGTAATGTAACTTCTTCCTCCCGTTTTGCGGGCTCATTCGGTGGGCCTGGAGTTTACTGGCCAGGCTGATTACCCTGCAGTGGAACGGGTGATGTGTGAAATGCTACGTGTGGCTGTGGCTGCCATCCGTTGAGTGGAGCTCGTCTTGTCTCACCGGGCTGTGGTGAAGTTGGCTGATGCCGAGTATTGCAGGCTGTTTTTACGCCAATATGAAGGGCGTAAAAACTACCGAATGACGTAAAACATTTCAACTACCGGATGCTGCTGGTTCGGTGGTTGTCTCTGACCGGAGTGGTGATCCGGTCACCTACATCAGCGTTCACGGTGCATCCCTCGAGTTTTCGGAGGAGCTGTTACGGAGGTACTTAGGGCAGTTTGGTGAGTGAGAGATTAAATATGATTTTCTCTGGGAAACTCCGGGGAGTACGGACGAATATCCGCACCTTGGGGATGCGGGTGTGTGCGGACATCCCTTCCTCAGTGAGACTTATGGGGCTACTTCATCCGCATCTACTATGCAAGGCAGCCTCGCACGTGCTTCCGCACTGGGTTGTCAGGCCACCAGGCTACTGGCTACTCGGCGGATGTCGTCACACAGGTTAATCTTTTTGGTGACCAGGATTTCCCACTGCTCGATGTGGATGAGGACCCAGTGGGGGGTGTGTGGACGAGCTCGTGGATACCGTGCCTCGTCCTGTATCGAATAGGGTACTTGCTCCTAGTGACGTTCGTGCGCCGTTGGTTGTGCGGTCCTTGTCTCCATCTTATCCGTCTTCAGCGCCTGCCCCTCTGTTGTCCTGGTGTTCCTGTCACGCATCCACGCCGCTTTCACCGGCCATGCTGTGCGATGGTTCGTCCTCCCTGTGCTTCCCGTGCTTCGGGTAGCACAGGGAACCAAAGCACAAGCACGTGCTTCGGTTCTGCCTCCGACTCTGACGACGTGCAGCCGGATCCCAAGCGCTCGCAGCGTTCCTCTATTTCTGTCTGGGCTGATTGGGGGAATTTTGATTGCCTGCTGATGTTGATGGGATGGCTCCTGGAGCTGCGGTGACGTCTGCGACGGTGGCGGCGGAGGTTCATGTGCCTGCTGCTAGCGCCGGTATGGAAGTCTTTGAGTTGGCTTATCTGTATCTCCACATGAGCTTTATTTGGAAGGTGTACTGTCTCCGGTTTCCAGTTGCAGACTTTCCGGAGAAGAATAAGAATGTGTAGACGCAGCATTCTTGTTTGAGTTTTGTTTCCTGTTTTATGCCTGTTTCCTGTTTTGTCATGTGCCTTTGCGTTTGGTTGCAGGCCCTTCAGGCCTCAGGTTTTGTACCCTTGTTTTAGGGTTGTACTGTGCTTCTCTGTTTTGTGTTTTTTCTTGAGTTTGTGTTTGTACTCTGTACTATTATCGGATGTGAGATACGTGTTTGTGTCTTGTTGTAGGCCCTTCAGACCTGTGGTTGTGTACTTTTGTTCTTCTTTTGTATTTTCTGTTTCCTTTATTGTACTTATTGGCATGCTCTGCATGTAAATATAAGTATAAAAAATAATAATAATTTAATTTAGGCAGAACAATAAAGTTTAGTTTTATAAGTTTTCCATCTGTACCCAAGCTGATGAGACTACACCAGTCTCCGTGGTGTAATGGTAAGACACTCGCCTGGCGTTCCGCGAGCGCTTTGTCATGGGTTCGTATCCTGGCCGGGGAGGATTTACTGGGCGCAAATCCTTGACTGTAGCCTCTGTTTAACTCAACAGTAAAATGAGTACTTGGTTGTAACAACGATTCTTCGCGGCGGGGATCGTATTCCAGGGACTTGCCCGAAACGCTACGCGTACTAGTGGCTGTACAAGAATGTATCAACTCTTGTATATATCTCCAAAAATAAATAAATAAATAAATATAATTGACTTGAGGGCTTTGGTGAGTACAAGTAACAGGTAAAATTTAATAATTGAAGATACGAAACAAGTAATTAACAAACAATGCATTAAGCCGATATGGGCACTGTCTGTTGTCTGTTGTCCAGAATATTAGTTGCTAGATATAATTCGCTGTCTGTACAAGAGGAAAAAGACACGTGATCAGCGTCAAAGGAATCTGATTCACAGAGAATATTATTGAGACATGGCTCAAAGGAACGATGGAAAAAAAAATTCCAATCTCTGAAAATCTCAACATTCTAGGCATGTGACTCTTGGTGAAACTATGCAGTGCTGACAATAGAGTGCAGGTCAATATTCCCTTTAAAAGCCCACGAGTGTGTTGAATGTGATCAATACGAAACCCAGACACACACACAATTCCCTCTTCCTAAAAGGAAGAGGGAATACAATACAATACGTGTATACAATACACGTATACAATACACTACAATACGTGGGGGACACCCACAAGTGTAAGTGGGGACTTGATATTATCCTCGTGAATTGTCTGATAATATTGATCGTGCGGTCTTGTAATGAAGAAGCACAAATTTCCACATATTAACTCTGGGTTGAATAATGTAAGTTCTCTCGAGCTGAGGGATCTCGGGATCATTGTGAGGGAGTCAGAAGGAAATGAAGCATAAAGACGACGAGAGGTAGAGGGTGAAATGATTTAAATTAATTATTGTGCACCCAATACCCATCCCTTGGGCATTGGTGGAAAGAGTTCGAGACACATAATGGGGCACGGGAACTGAACCCCACAGTTCATTTAGCTAAGCGAAGTACTTGGATGAGGTTCTAGGAGTAATTTTGCTTTCCAAGCCCGGCCCGGAGCCTGGTTTGACTAGTGAGAGCTTGGTCTAACAGGCTGCATGTTAGATTAAGGTTTGGAGCGGCCCGCAGGCCCATATATCCACTACAGCCAATTGCACAATTTTAACACAAGTCTTTTTATATCGCTAGTAGTTCAATAAGTGGCCCACAAGTCTCTCTATACAAGGATGTATATATATGTAGTCAACCAGTTTACGTTATTAATTATACTCACACACTCATCCAACTGAGCGGCAGCTTTACAGTCATGTGCATGCATTTACCTACTGTAAGCCTACTTGGTGAAGCCGACGAATATGCTGTGCATCCCTAATGCAACTCGGACATAACCAGTCAGAGGTACCATTGGAAACGGTATATGTACCTTAAGGGTTGTTTGTCAAGACCGACTACAGTTAGGGCCTTGCAAGTGCAGTGAATGCGCAGGATAATGAACATAACACGCCTAAAATTAGCAAGGGTCGGAAATCAACCCCCCAGAGTTTTGAAACATTGGACACAGGGCTGAAGGTAGAAGATATGCTGCCTTGTAAACGCCATGGGGACTTCTTTTCGTGGAAAATTTAAATGTGTATGGCAATCCAGTCA